CTGAAAGATAATACATTTCAGAGTCAGAAAAGACCAGGTGTCAGTCTGATTCACAATAGGTTTAGTCAGAAAATCAATAATCTATAGCAGATTCTGAGTTTCAAAGCTGCTCATCCAGTCCTGGTGCTCATTCTCCTCCCTGTTTCTCTGAATTCTTTGAGGAGGAATCATAATTTGTGAATCCTCCTCTCACTGTGTTGACAGCCTTCACTGCGCTTGAACAACAGAACAATGCAGAGGCAAACTCAGGGACAGATTTGTGATGTGTGACTCTCCAGCACATTTGCTCCTCTCCCTGTTGTGTATTTGACAAAGATTTCTCTCCCTCTCTGCCTGCTCCCGTCTCTCGCCACAAATCATGGCATTTCCGGTGTGGTGGAAGGTAAATGTAAACACTTTTCTAAACATCGATATGGACGTGCCCATTGTGGCCTGTAACAAGAGCTGACAACAGTGACACCTACAACAATGACGCTAAAGTATGCTGTGGTGTATTGTGTGAAGTTTCAATCCAGAGAGCAGTGGATGTTTTCCTTTTAAATATTAGCTTTGAGCAGCTATTCAGGGCCACATGTGCTCGTAATTCACAGCCAATTCAGAGAACAGGCTCCTGGTGAATGAGGGCAATCTAGATTCATGAAGTCGAGGAGTATCAAGGACTGGCATATAAACAGTGCTAATGAGATGTCTTGTTGGTTTGATAAGGTGAGGTTTTCATGGTTACAATTTTGCCCAATTCTCTCCCTGTAAAAATCATTGTTTACAGAAAAGAAGGTTTTTACAATTTTGACAATTAAGGGAAATACTGGCAATAAAAAGTAAGTACATTTGAAAAAGCTTGATTTAAAATTATAATATGTAACTTTTCCACATTAAAATGTCTAAAAATGACTAGACCGATGTTATGTATTTTTTGAGTTGTGTACTCACATTATCCCAAATGTTTCCAGCAAAAAGAAAAAAGAAATACGTGATTTTTCTCATTGTAAGGTATGTGTGATTTGGTCGCCTGTCAATGACATCATATCCCCTATGCGCATTGGTCGGAGTTGTGGTTGCCTAACTGCCAGTAGCTCAAAATGGACTTTTATCTAGTTTTAAGCCACATACTCTTTTTACACCTTGTCCTTTTCAACTATATATTTTAACCAGATTTTTAAGCAATATCACACGAGAGGGAGTGATGTTGTACTGAACAGACCCGTCGCCAGACCTCAGTCTTAAGGGGGGCATATGAAATGCATGGGAGGGCACAATTATTATTAACCTACAGTATATTTTAGTATATTGTAGTATATACGTATATTTTTAATAATCCTATACTGCATTCGCGCATTACGTAATCATCACGTTAAACATAACCAACAGCAATATGACCAGGTATAGCCGACAACACCAGTCCTCATAGTTTAAAGCAATACATTACATAGAAGCAATGTTATGAATATCCATAAAACACTTGACTATATAACATATTAGATGTAACACCACAAGCATCTCTCAAACATTGCATTTTAAAGCAGTCAACAGAGGGATATGCATTGCCATTAGACACAGACACACGCACGCACGCACGCACGCACGCACGCACATACACACGCACAGAGACTTTAAACCTACTGGTACTTTGGGTGGAGGCAGCGCTTTCCTCTCTCCAGTCCCTCCTGTCAGTACAGCGGGAGGCGGCGTTTCTCTGAGCTGAACCTCCTCATCAACGTATCCTTCCACTCGGACTTAAACTGATCCAACAGGCAGTTGTGGCCCAAATACTGCCCCAGTCGCGGTTGCACTTGACCTGCTGGTAGCCTCCGCTCCGTGGCCGCTGCAGGTCCTGCCAGGCCCAGGGTCGGGCTCCACGGAGCTACTAGCAACGTTGCTCAGACTGTCGTCCAGGGTCTCCTTCTCCAACGACATCAGGAGGCGTCGGTGTCGTATCCGATTTGGCAGAGGAGACTGTTGGTGGGCTTTTCAACCACTTACGAATATCCATGATGAACTAGAAATGTAATAGTAAGCCGGTGAAAACTCATCCAGCTTCACTTTCAAAAATGCGCGGTTACTGTTGAGCGGCTACATTGACGTAGGCTACGTCACGTACATAGCGTAACTTTCTTTTCAGTAAGGCCGTGATAGGCTGTTGCAGTGTACATTCCCATCAATCAAACAAAATCACACCATTGTTTCTTTATATTTTTAATGTTTTAATGATAAAGAATACAACATTAGTATTTCTCAACACAAAATTAGCTACTATGATAATATAAAATATGAATTAAAGTAATTTTTTTAAGAGATCTGTGCCTCAAGTGGGGGGGGGACAAGCATTTTTGGGGGCGGGCCAGGCCCCCTACGGCCTCATCATTTAATTCAAATGTTATTTCTGGAAATATATTCACCTTTTTAAAGTTTTTTAAAATCTAATATTGACAGCGATCCTTAATGTAACGCCGATTAATGGTTAGTAGAATACCTGTCAGGCGGAGTGATTACATTTAGTTAAAAGTCCCAGTACTATATCAGCGCTCATAAAATGCCTCTCGTCCAATCAGATTACTTGGTCGGAACTAACTGTAGTGTAAAGAATTTAGTCATCGGACGTCGGGACCTTAAATGATCAGAGAATAAAAGCAAGGCAAATATTAGGTAGCTCAGCTCCAAGTCGCTGGAGAAGTCCTGTCCTCTTAAGCACCTCGCAAATCACTGATCATTTAAAACGTGAAACTGCTATACTCGTTTACCGGTTTTAACCTGGTTCGTTTCTAATGGAGATGACGACACCTCTGCGGATAATCCGATTGCCGGTGAAAACCTGTTGAACGTCTGGTTCATAAATTATCAGCGAAACAAAGGTAAGCTGTCAATTCTCAGCTTTCTCAAAGACGTCATGTGTCTGCCATATAGCGACTTTAAATGTGAAACTGCTATATTCAATGTCTCTAACGGTTACAATCACCGGGTCTGTTTGATTTCCTTGAATCACTGAAAAAATCCGAACCGGACCTCGGAAATAGTAGTTCGAGAGGGTTCAGAGGGTTTATCCATAGCAGTACTAGCATTTCTCTGATATTTTCTTCAGTGTTATACGTGAAATCATAACAGCTAATGAGCTAGCATATCAACAGATTCATCTCAATGACAAATGAGCAAACTCCACTCAGTGATAAAGACTTTGTGATACACCTGAAAGCTAACTACTAACTAACTATTACTAAACTACTAAACTGCAGAATAGATATTTTCAAACGTGGTGGTACAGTCTCAATTTGCACTTGACATGGCCTTATGCAATTTAACATACTACATCAATTGCATTTTTTGCATTGTACACACTATATGTGATCGCTGCAGAGCATTCCCTACCTCATATGTTTCATGTGTCTCATATGTTACATGTCTCATATATGCTCATGTTTTGGCATTGACTTTCTAATTTTTTGGATCTCTGTTCTCATCAGATATTTCAGGAGGCCGATAACAGCTGGATCCCCGTATTGAAGTATTCGTAATTCAAATGAGAACAGCAATATAACTGATGCTAAATACACGATTACAGCTTTTGTAAAAAAAAAAAAAAAAAGGCAGGCTTTGTTCAAAAACCAACAAGTTTAACAAACAAACAAACTTAAATAAATACATTTATTGACTGCAGGTGGGCTAAGCACATAATAGTGAAATCTTTCTGTGCAATGTGTTGTCACAGACACAGGCTGGTCTACCATGCTAATTAGGGTAAATTCCTCTTCAGTCTCACTTGTTGATTCTGAACACATCCAAGCAGCGAAAGGATTACCATCACACAGCGTCATGGATGGTTTGACTACCAAAGCTGTGCTTGTAAATAATTGAACATGGAAATAATTTTCTGTGTTGACAGGTCATGACAACTGCAATCACATCAAAACCAAGGAGGTTTCCAGAAGTTTTATCCTGATTTATTGGCTTTATAGGGTGTGTGTGTGTGTGTTGTGTGACCTGCAGATGGCTGTAGTGGCAGCAGAAAGCTGATTTACTGAGAGTCTGTTAAGATATGTGGTTGTGATATGGCAGCTGGCCTGCCACCACTGAAATGACTAGTTTTTAGTGCGTCTCATGGTGATTGAGAGGGTTGCCGTAGTGATAAGTGGGTTGCCCTGGTGATAAGCATTCTGCCGACGGATAAGAGAGGTTGGAAGAGGAGGGGAGAAGGGGAGAGGAGAAGGTTCGATAAGAAATCTGTCCAGTTTTATCTTCAGTAGCTGTCAACACCCATTTCTTCTTTTCTTTTTGGTCTCATCTTCTTTTTGTTCTGTTTTCTTTATTCTTGTCTTCTCTTAGTTAGTTATTTTAATCTCTTCTCTCCTCTTCTCTTCTCTCCTCTTCTCTTCTCTTCTCTTCCTCCTTTCTTCACCAACGATGTTATTGGACGGGGGACAAGGGTGGCAAGACTCTGATTGAGTCTGATTGGTCATGCTCAGGTCACCTCCTGGTCAGCACTGTACACACACACACACACACACACACACACACACACACACACACACACACACACACACACACACACACACACACACATATGCACACACAGCGTCACCAGTGTCTTTGCTTTGACAGAGGCTTCAGACTGTGTCCAATCAATTTAGTACTTGGGCTGCTGAAGACATGCACTAGTAATCAGTGTAACCATCACTGTGTTTGAACTCTGCCTCTTTGTCTGACTGTTTGATTGGGGTGAGTGTGCTTAAATGAACGTGTGAGAGAGAGAGAGGGAGATTGAATTCGAGGCCTGTCTTTGTGTGCATTTCTTTTCACTCTGTGGTAGTGGGTGTGTGTTTTTGCCTGCTCTTCCACTCTTATTGTTGAGGTTGTTACGTGCCTTGTGTTTCAACTGAAAGGACAAGAGTTGGCCATGAATCCTAAGTTTGCTTCCTTCCTTCTTCCTCCCCCTCTCTCCATCTCTATACCCTCCTTCTTCTATCCTCCTCATCCTCTTCTCCTCCTCCCCACTCCCTGGTTGTATGTAGAGGTTCCCATGGCAACGTTGAGCCCAGCCAAAGTGACTGTAATGGAGGGGGAGAACGTGAAGCTGTCCTGTACGACCTCTGGTGTGCCCTCACCTGAGCTGATTTGGAACATGTCATTGGTCACCAACTATGTGGTTAGGACACACGCACACACGCACACACATACACACACACATGCGCACACACACGCACACACAGATAGAGAGAGAGAGAGAGAGAGAGCGAGAGAGAATATAGTTGGTTCGTTTTTCACATTACTTACAGACCTGAAACAGTTAGTCAATAAATCAATTAGCTGATCTACGGAAAAAAATAATTTTGATAATTGATTAATTGTCTCAGCCATTTTTCAAAAAAAGACACTTGTTGGTTTCAGCTTTCCAAACGTGATCCATATACCCATTGTGAAGGTAGGATTTATTGCAGAGCTTTCTCTGTTAGACTGTGTTAGTTTTAAGATTTGTGCACCTAATAAACTGGAGTGTATAATATCTTCGGGGTTTGGACAGTTGGTCTGATAAATTTAGTAAAATGAAAATGTTACCTTGGGCACGGAGGCTTCCAGGCTTCATAGGTTCACTGAGAATACATAATTGGCAATTGAAGATAAATGTCTGTTGCAGCCTGATCCCCTTTATCTGGTAACTGAGCTTAGCTACAGTTTAATAGTCAGCACACATGTAAACTCTCTGTAAAGGCGTTAAAAAGGAATCCATGACTTTGTCTGGCTCTGTATTCTCTGTGATGTGATCAAAAGAGTAAGTTCCCCCGAAAAGTGGAGATATACAAGATATTTACTCATTTTTGAAGTGTGCTTACACTTGTTACTATCATTTTAGTTGATATATCAGATATGTATGAATAATGTAAACCCTGCTACCACCTTCTGACAGTGTTTTGCTATGTTGCCTGCTGTATACAGTGCCATGAATGTGATGATTTCACTGGTATGATAAACTTATTCCAATGCTTCACATGCTTTGTCACATGTAAATTATCAGGGACCACTCAAATTTAAAGGCCAAATCTGATTTCTGCGGCTCTCAAACCTCAAGAGATTATTTGTCATGACAGTTTCACGTAACGTCACCATTACAGATTAATTTTACAAAGTAATCTTACGATGATAAGTCGTGTGAGTCGTTAGATAAGCAATCATTTCCTTTGTCTTTGTGTTGAGAAAATAACTCTTCAGTCTTCATGCTGATATATGGGTGTGTTTGCACTCTCAGATCGAGACATCTGGCCAGATTTCGGTGCTACGACTGTCCAACCTGTCGTCGATGGACCACAACAGCAAGATCAGCTGCACCGCTGAGAACATTGTAGGAGAGAAGGAGTCCTCTCTGCAGCTGGATATACTTTGTAGGTTGACCCTCTCGCAGACATCCCTGATTCAATGTAGATTAAGGTGTCAAAGCGTCTGTCTGTGTAGTATTGTCTTCGAAACAGAGAATTACAAGCTGGAGAAGAAAATTGTTCTTCTCAATCAGTGTTTCTATATGCTTCACTAGTTTTTGACCTCTCAATAATCTCACCTTTTTTTCTGTCCTTTCTGTTTGTGTCTTAAACTCTCTATTCTCTCCACTACCCTCAGTTCCCCCCAAAATCACTAAACTGAGTGATGCAATCCCAGACCATCACTGGTGCATCCCCTTCAGTGTGTCAGGTAAGAGAGACATCCGAATAATATCCTTTCATGATACTTTGCTGTTGAATTTCAGTTTGGCAAGGCCTCAGCATGAAATACTTACCCTAAATTTTGATTAGTGTCACAGTATATATGAATCACAGCAATGACGATATAAGCACAAAAATATAGACTGATAATTAAAGAATATGATGAAAATGAATGAATGAAAATCACTGAGTGTCTTGTATCGTCTTCATAACCTTTCCAGGAAACCCAGAGCCCCAGCTACAATGGTATCTGGACGATGAAGCGGTGACAGAGGGGCTCTACATCATGACCTTGATCCACGACATCACAGAGAGGGAGTACCACGGCTGCCTGCAGCTGGACAGCCCCACACACCTCAACAATGGGAGGTACAGACTGGTGGCTAAAAACAAATACGGGTCAGACCAAAAGGAGGTGGAGGCTCACTTCATGCACAAGCCCTGGGATGGTGAGGAGTTCATTTTCTGTTTTCACATCATTCTGATCAACATATCAGCCATATTATTATTATTATTATTATTATTATTATTATTATTATTATTATTATTATTAAGAAACTATTAAAAAACTGTTTATTTTAAAATCAATATTTAGCTTTCATTAAAGAGTATTAAATGAACTGATTAGCTGTTTGGCAGAAAAGTAATCAGCAAATATTTTTATAATCAATTTTATTTATCTAAATTTTCAAGTAACCCGTGCAAGCCCTTAAAATGATGAGGAAACTGAAAAAAATCATCACTTTTGCAGTCACTCTTATGAGTCTGTCTGGCTTTTGTCAAATTCTTTCTTTTTGTAGAGTTGCCTGTCACTGTTTATACTATGACTGTGAAGTTGTTGAAGTCACTGTTTCACATTTCTATTTAGTAAATGAAGAGTGCTTTTAACTATTAAGACTCACCCTTTAGACTTTTAAAACACCAACCTCTCGTTGGTGCTGTCTCACTGGTTGAATATGAATGCACACTTGTGTATATACAGTATGCATTTTTCAATCTGGGTCCATAGATGAGCATAGACTGATGATGAGGGGTTGGTTGTCGGCATGAAAGCCAAAAGTGGGATGCCATACTGGCAAGGTACAGTTTTGTATATTTAATTATTGGTAGTACGTCAACAGATTTCAAGCTGTTATTTGCATATTAAAGTATGTTCATGTACGGCTATGTTTATCGTGTAAATAATTAGGCAGAAAGAGTACACATGACTAAGATATACAGTACTTGGGCATGGAGCGTTTCATTAAGATGTAGACAGGTGGTTGTGTGCAGGATTATAGTATCAATAAAGGTACAAATCATGAGTATCTGCACATTGGAATAAAGCAACTAACACTTTGTTGGACTTAAAAGGCCTATTGGGTATATCACGCAAACGGCCAACATGACAAGTACATGTGTACTGTATGTCTGATCCAACCCACTAGAGGAATCTAATATTTCTATATAGTTTGAAACTCCTGTGTACATATTGTCCATTCAGTATTTGACCAAATTTAATCTTTTTTTTTTGTTGTCGTCATGTGCAGGAACTGAGAAGGAGCCCTACTATTATGGTGAGTAAAATGAATATTCACTGCAAATATTTTTATTGACTGTAAAAGTGTTAAATGTAACACATCAGGTTTAAATTCATAGTGTATTCATAGTGTCTGTGTTTTTAGATCAATGTTTTTATATGTAACATCTCATCATTTTCATTAATTGATACAAATTACATTTTAGAAATCTTTCTCTTTCTCTTTTTTCTCTCAAGTTGCTGAGGGTGCGTTACATACCTACACATCCATGCAGCTAGGGATTAGGGTTGATGTTATCTCTTTTTCCACACTGTCAAGTTGTGCATGTTGAATGTTTGTTGCTTTGTCTATTGTGTTTGTGTAATCTGTTTTTGAAAGAAAACAGGCATGACAGATAACATTATTTGTGAGGTGCATTTCAAAGAATTTACACTTGAAATATGATGATATGTTCAGAAGTTAATTTGTCTCTGTTGTCTTTCTCCAACACCTCTCCTCCTGCAGATATCAACACAGGTACTGTCGTGCCTTTTATTTACTCACTCGTCCAAGCATCATATTTTAATTAATTGACATTGAATTGACTAAGCCAGCCCCGGTTAGTTTCTGTTGCTACGCCTGTCATTGTGGCAGATTTACCCACAAAATTCTTAATAACTCTTGAAAACAATGGTTCCTTCATAGACAAAAGCAGACTTCTTATTTTATCAGCTGTAGCTAGCATTCTCATTAAGCTAATGATAACTCAATGAGCTGGTTGAAAATGTTGCTCCTGGCTCACTTTTTAATGTTGAGAAAAACGAGAACCCTGTGAAAAGGGACTTAAATCAGCACTGGAAGGCAACATATATGATAATGTGCTAAAATACTGAGGCTAAAGCTGCATGTTCCAGCCAAAAAGTCTGCGCTGTCTGGTTGATGATCCATGGACATGGAAATAAAGAAACATCATGGTCTTTTAGTGGGGAGCTAGTTAGTCCAAGTATTGTAAGTATGATAAGGATAAAGCTGTTTAGCCGTTTAGCTTACATACTTGCATAAATTATTTATATTTAATTGTTTGAGGCTGGGTTTGCTGGAGTGTCAACTTCTCCAAATCTAATAAAGAACCTGTAATGTTAGTTTAAATTCTGATAGCATGTAGGATCAGTGTTGTGTCAAAGACTGTCTGTCTGTCAACATGTGTTTCCCCTTACCTTAAACTGAACCTAACCTTACCCTAACCCCAACCAGTTTTCTGTGCTCCACCTAACCATAACCGAACCTAAGCCCTAACCTATGGGGCACTATTGGAAATGCTATTCATATGAGAGGGAAACTGGTGAACAGAGTTTAACATAACACCAGCTTCCATAATAATGCAGTATTAAAAGTCACTTGCCTTGGAAACTCTGCTTGCAGTTAGTGAGCAGATTAACACTGTTTAATCCATTTACTAGCCTACACACTTGTTCTTGTATTTTTGGTTTTGGCGAGGGTACAAAAAAAAAAAAGAAAAAAAAAGAAACCACCATCTAATCTCTGAGTATCACATACATCCCCATGCATATAAAGAAAGTTTTACAGGCCTGCTATGCCTAGTTATGGTTGCTAAGTTACAATCGGACAACTGCTGAAAATACTAAAATGCAAACCGCCTTGTACTAAATTCACCCGGTGTGCAATCTGTTCAATGTTAACAAAAGCCAATGACCAATAAATCATATATTATGAATATCTACTCAAGATGTTAGGTCACACATCACTTCTTGAGTGGCTGTTCTTCTCTATTGATTCTTGTCTCTCTCTTTCCTGAATAGAGAGTCCCCCTGTAGACCCACCTGAGGATAGAGTCGCAGTAAGTCACATCTCACTGTTTTCTTCCAGCTATTGAATGTCAGCTGTTGAATGTTGAACCTATTTTTTGTGTCATTTATTTCTGTTACCTGTCAAAAAACACTTGAGTTTGACCTATCTTTTAGCATTATAAGAAACTGTTCGAACCCAACACAATGAAGATGCAGCAGTACTTCAGAAAATCTGCCTTTCTTGGACAGTGATATAAATACAATCTGTGGCTTATACCTTTGTTTGCTGGTGTGTATGACATTTGGCTTTGTGCGGCTGTCTGTGTGTGTGTTTCTCATCTCTTCAGTAGGTTTATAACTACACTTTCTCATTGTGCAGGTGTACGTGGTGGTGGGCATCGCCGCTGTAGCCTTCACTGGTTTCCTGCTAATGTTGGTTATTCTCAAGTTTGGAGGAAATTCCAAGTTTGGCATCAAAGGTAAGACTTCTGACTTATCTCAGTGGCATCCACCCTGTGGGGGAGGATGAACACTTCAGGATTAATGTAAAAAATATTGGTAATTGCTGTTAAGGATGTTTGGATGTCTAGATCAAAGTTTTGGGTAATTTAAGTCTAAAATGGATGGCTTCATGGATACATAAAAAACTAAATCAAATGATTTGCCCCCAAAAACCAAAATCAAAAAATTTGAGCCTGAAATCACTTCCAATATAGGGAATAATTGGAGACAACTAAATCTATTTTATTGATGTTTTATGATGCTGTCAAATAATAAAATTGGTCGTTACTTTATTACTCATAATCACCTGCGGAGCACATAGCACACATAATTCAGATTTCAGTCGACAAGTTTAACGTTTCAATGGTAAATGCCAGTTTAGCTACTGTATATATGGTAAAAAAATTACTTCTTGGACTTTTAACTGCATTATGTAAAGTATACATTTCCACTTACTATTTCGACTTTGTAATGTTTTCTTTTTCTAATTGTTGCTAAATATCTAAGACTCACTTATGGGAGACTTGATCATACTTTTTTTCCTTGCAGTGGTTATTACAGGTCAGAAGTTGATAATCTGGGGCTGAATATGAGTCCAAGATGGGAAAAGTTATATGTATGCTGTTCAGATCATTCAATGAATTAATGGGCTTGGGACACTAAAATTCCTGTTTCATGTCATATACTGTATGTAGATCTCATTCAATATGCAGACCATCACGTGTCCATGAATCTATCCTGTTCAGGTGAAAACAGCTGCTGTTTGATGGAGTTTGCCTGGGTCTCAGTGCTGCTGGTGAATAACATGCATGTTGACTAAACTGAACTCTGTCATCTTTGTCAAAAACTACTGAGGTAGCCATTGCTGAAGCCCTCCTTCACTCTCTCTGACGCACACACACACACACACACACACACACACACACACACACACACACACACACACACACACACACACACACACACACCATTTATCTTTTTTACAACACAGTTTTCAAAAAGCATTTTTATAACAATGTGTAACTTCTGGAATGGCTACAACTGCAACTAATTTATTTTCTCTTGTAGAAATTATCATACTGACTTACTAGAACAGACTTGTCTCTGTTTTACTCATTTTGACATGTGGCTGATATTTTCTCATTCTTTGTGAACTAACAATAACGACTGAACAACACTTCCATCAGTCCTCCTATTTCTACATACAGCACATAATGATTATGCTGTTTTTTTTTTTTGTTTGTGATTCAAGATTTAGCTGTGTGAAAATCCCAAAATACATAAGGTGGGTGTAGAATCTGTTTTCTGTGTCCATTTAGTTGACTTTAGTTTAGTTCACTTCGGTTGGAAAGGCATAATGCATTCATGATAAGCAAACTAAAGATTCAAAATTCTTAAGAAGTAATTTTGTGCTATGTAAAGACACAGTTGTTTTAGGAATAAATAACCTTTTGGCAACGCTTGAAACATTTGCATTTGATGCAGTGAAGGTTCCCATTTTACATTCAAATTACCAAACAAAAAAGTGAATGCAAATGTAGAGAAAAACATATAAATGTGTGTGTGCATTTATGTGTGTCACTCTTGGTTGCAATGTTGAGGTGCAGTATTTTGGCAGCGATTGATTTATGGCTCCCCGGAGAGGAGGGGTGGAAGACAGATGGAGTAGCTAGTATATACATTGTGTACATGTGTGTGTGGTTTCTTCGTTCTCCAGGAAAGGTGAACGAGTTTTTTTCTGAGGCAAATGATTTCTCTAATTCCTCTTGACATTCCTTATACATCTGCATTTGCGTGTATGTATGTATGTTTTCTTGTCTAAGCATTTTTACACATGTATGCACTTCTATTCGTGTGTAGCATGTTAGGTCACATCACAGTTTTGTCCTTCTGATTGCTCCCCTGGAGTCTCTCTTTCCACTGATAACTTCCTCTCCCGGCGTGGTCCCGCCCTCGTGCTCCACATAGATCCAGATGTATGTGCCCTGCAGCATGTTGACATTGGGGGTGAGTGTGTGGAGAGAGAGATAGTGGTGTCAGTATGACCAGCAGAGTCAGACGGAAAGTTGGAGAGCTGTGAGTAATCCACAGCAACACCAGTTGTGCCCACATATCCGCTGTTTGTTTGAAACCCTTACATATGTCCTTTACCAGCCTGATGACCAAAGGCCACTTCGACAACAGAAATATAACTGCAGATGGCAGCACACTGTCAGCGCTAATCTAACACAAACAGCACTTTGCCATGACAACATGGTTTTCTAAATCATAAACACATGTCCACAGACGCACACACACCCCCACGAGTACAGTCAGTGCTGACGATGATGAGGAAATTGTGATCAGAAAGTGTGAACACAGTGTGCCATATTGGATAGGTGTGCATGACAAAAGCTCAGCTCACCTCACCGACTCTGGATGATGCTGTTCCATCTCTATCTGACAATCAAGTAAAAGCTGTAGCTGGTTTACATTATTTATATTGACTGCATTAATCTGCAGACTCTCTCATCAATAACACATGGGCAGCATTTGGTAAAAGTTAACCCTCCTCGCACATATGATAGCTATTTTATACACCTTCTATAGCTGTTATAGTGTTCTTGTGTTGGCAGAAGGGAGTAACTAAAATGGATTAAATGAAAGATTAACCATGTGGATAATGTTGAGAATGTAGACTTAACAGCTGAAATACTGGGCTACCTTGCTTGTCTTTGCTCTTGATATTAAACCTGAATAGCATTTATTGAGTCATGTATGTGGCCACATGGCGAAGGTGAGTTCAGTACACACTCTTTCATAGCTCTGGTTTGGTCTCCACCAACTCCTGAGGGAAATATCCTGAGCTTTACCCGCTAAATGCGGTGCAGTGAGAGAGAACCAAAACAGTTAGGTTACCGGCAATAAAGACAGAACGAGTTAAGAGATAATGAAAATCTGAGGATGAACTGCTAATAGCAGCTTTAAGTTTTTCACCATCATTTTCAGGGGGTGAAAATTAATGTTAATTGACTTCTTCCACCACTGTTATATAATGGAGCTAAATGGAATTTCTTCAAACTATTGCTCTTTATAGAAATTAATGTATGTCTCAGTTAATACAGACGATCCTAAGACCTGCTGTGAGCAATTTGTATTGAATGACTGTTAAATAAAACCACAAAGTACAGAGGGGTGTGTGTCAACTGTATGATTGTTTTTGGATAGACATAGTGCTTTCAGGCACCAGTTCAGCCAGTTGGATCAGAAACAACATGAATTATTGGCCGCTTAAAAGTTAGAGGATCATAGTAGGGGTTTGATTTAAGATTGAGCCACTGAATGGTGAACATTCTCTTGCACTCTTTGTTTTCATGGTACTTGTCAGAATTGTTTAAGATCCAACTTGCTTACAGATTAGGCTAAGACTATCCGATCAATACAGCCCTCTGTTCTTGGAGAGAAAGCAAATCAGGTTTAGTGAGACTACGTGGTCCACTATGTGGTCTGCCACAAGAGGAAGCAACTACATCATCTGACTCTGGCCCCAAAATACCACACTAAGGCTGCTACATTTCACCTAACAAAAACAGGAGCTGTATCCTGGATGAATCCCCTTTGCCACAGATTGGCTCATGAGGACGTTCAAGTGCCAACAGCTGTTATTCAAACTGAAGTGTTGACAAAAATTAACATGGGTATTGGAGATTTTGTTATATCAGTAGAGATGAGGTGCATGGAGAAATCAAAGATGACAGGAAGTTTCATTGAAATCAAGATACATTTTGTAAGAGAGATCAAAGTACAAATTATATGTACAGATGATCATAGTTACACAGAGCAAAAAGTTGAGTCCAAATGTTGTTGGCTGCAAAATGGAAAATGAAAACTCAATGATTCAGAGTTTGAGAAACAGACAGAATGAGAGCAGGGGAACTTAAATAGGCCTGTTGGAAGCCTAACAGTTTCCACAAAATTATACATAACGACCCTCCCAAACTAACGGCAGACTCCTGAAAAAGAAAACATTTCTGACAGTGCAGTGTGAGAGAGGGAAGGCTGTAGCTGCATGTGTTTGTGCCCTCGAAGCACCTGTAGGGAGGGAAACGTGAACATAAAGCTGAGTTCTGATGCAAGAACGAGACGGAAATGTCAAGACGGGGGGGGGGGGGGGTGAAACAGTAAATGTAAAGTGAGAGACAGTCAGAAAGGAAGAGAGAGTGAATGCTAAAATTGACATTTGACAAGAAGTGAGAGTGAGAAAAACAGAGAAAGCCAGCAAGGAAGTGAGAGAGAGAGAGAGAGAGAGAGAGCCGGAGATTGAGGGAAAGTATAGGAAGGAAACGAAAACATGGGGAAAAAAGATGGAGAAACCAGAAGACATCATAGCTAGAGCAGACGTTAAAAAAGTGAGATAGAGCAAGGCAAAGAGAAAAAGAAAAGCTGAAAGAAGGAAGGAGATGGAAGGAGAAAGACCTCCACTTATCAATGATTCATCATTAGTGCAGGTTTCAGTTTCCTTCTTGTTTGGTGGAGTTGCACGTCTTCATCTCTCTCCCCCTCTCTCTCACATGCACACACAGCTCCTCCCGGTTGATCAATCGATATGACACCCTCAAGGTCAGCAGAGCTCCACTCTAGGCCTACCACCTCCTCCTCTTCTTCTTCTTCTTTTCTTCTTCTTCTTCTTATTCTTCTTCTTCTTCTTATTCTTCTTCTCCCTGCAGAAAAGCAGCTTTTGCCTGCAGCTCCTGAGGTTTTTGATGAACACCACTCACCTACCAAACTTTTGCGAAGGAAGAAAAACTGAATGAGTTGAACCACAAAGTAAAGAGGCTGATGTTCAGATTAGTTCTGAGTATCAAATGTCAATAATTTCATTAGTACTGCAGGAGGATGAAAAGTGGAATGGAAAACCTGGTCAGATTCTTAGTCATGTTGGTCTTATTTTTTGATCAGACCTGATTTTAAAATGTAATTATGGCAATTTTAGACTATA